TTCAAAACTCCCCTGCGCATTTGAAATTATTGTTAGAAATCCAGATGTGTCTCAATCCCTGGAAACCGTTGTTAGAACCAGATTCCTCAGATTTGTGAGCGCGGAGCACATTGTGTGGCTCCTTCAGTGCCTGTAGCTCTGGCGCGGCGTGTTCCAGCGCGATGCCGTTCTGGCGCACTGCCTGCCGTGGGTGTGATGCCACTTCCAACTGCATCTGATGAGAAAAGAACGAGTACAAAATTGACTTCTTGGTGTGCCCAATTCCATTGTATTGTGCTGAATCTCCCAGTCATGAAGTTCAACTCTTCCTTGCCTCTAGTTTCAGCAGTTGCCGTTTGGCTCAGACAGCGTTCTTTGGACACACCCCAAACCCCACATCCCACCCCCTGTTAGTAAGGAATATCCTTTTGGTTTCCCCGTACCCTTTTTGCCGGTTCCGCGTCCTTCAGCACGAGCGTGGCATCGGCCCGGAGGCGATTCGGCGCCACGGCCAGCTGCACGCCGGCATAGCTCAGGATTTCGTCAAAGCACTGCCACTCCTGATCGATCCTCGGTGAGCCCGCTTCGAATAGCGCAGTGCTTCCAAAGCCACCACGGCAAGGTGTGTGTCTACCTTTCAGACCTCATATTTCAGTTTCTGTTTTCATGCTGACCCGTGTATCATCAACAAACAAGGGGGGCCGAGATCAAACGAAGCTATAATCCATCTACCCGCTCCACTCCCTCCTCAGACAGGAGTCAATTCTCACTAAAAATGATCAACCCTCTCTTTCAACCACCTATTCAACCCTGGTCGACCATTGAATGTCGGCAAAGACTGGGGACGGACAAAGGAACACAGGGAAACTGGCCCCTTGGTTATGTGAACAATTGGAGAGTTCTTGATGTCCTTCCAAAATAAACCAGAGACTCTCAAACCTGACTGCCAGGTTTGTCTCAAAATTGGTACGTCCCCAAATATGGGTGGCTTGCTTTCGTTTCCTGTGTTCAACCCCTCAAAACCACACACGCACACACACACACACACTCCCAAGAAACCATATGTTTCGTATTTAGCATAAATACTAATAAATACTTGTTTAAATCAAAGAAAGTCTTGGAGAATTCGAATCCGACCTCAAATCCATCCTGCTTCGCCGCTTCGCTCCTCAGCAGCCCCAGCTCCACGCGTCCGCCCTCAGCGAGCTCCACGAGGCGCTGCGAGGCGAGGGCCGTGCCGCGGTGCAGCAGACGCAGCTCCTCGACGGTCCAGCCCAAGGCCTCCAACCACAGCCCTCTGGGCATGTACTTGTTTTAGGGTTTCACTTGGTTTCACTTGGTTTTGGCTGGCAATCATTCATCCCAACTGGTGCAAACTGTCTTGTCAGTGACTCCTCCTTTTAGGATGGGTTTGGAAAGGGAACTACATTTATTTGGGATCCCTGCTTTGAAGACAGACTGACAGGACATGTCTGGCCAGGAGTACCAGACAGGGAGTACCCTTCCAACCATGGAAGCTGATAGGAGGTGCTTGGAGACATGTTCGGGAAGTGTAGATTTTTTCAACCGGGTCCAATTACAATATTTCTCCTCAAGGCCCCTCTAAAGGTGCAGCCCCGACCAGAAGTATCTTGCAATGGGCAAACCCAAAGGTAACTTGTCTTGAAAAATGACAAAGTCAAGTGGATCCAATTAGCTGAAGCTCTGAACAAATCACAGGAACCCATGCCGGAGCAAACCGGGCAAACCTCAGATGAAGCAATCAAAGCTCAACTATCCCAAATGGACTGGCTGCAAGCAGAAGAGGCTGACCAGCATGGGCCAACACGACCTGATTCAAACCCTGAAACATCCGAACCATCTTGCTTTAGGCTTATCTCTGAGTCTGGGGCAACCTGTTGTTAAAAAAACAGTCTCCAACATGTAAACATCATCCTGAATCGGTCTCCACTTGTATTCGGATCGCGTTTGCTCTGCTTCGACCTTTCGTCTTTTTAACCCTTGCAACCCACTTCCTGAAACGCCTATGATGACTCGTGGTCGGTCGACATGATTTTTTGCGCGGATTCGTGCTTTCTGCCTGAAGTTGACATCGACAACACTCAATTGCCAAGGATCTCCTTTTGGGGGATCCCCTTTAATAAAGTTCCCACGTTCATCCTGGGAGTGGCTTGCCCCCCGGCCCCACCTCAAATAGGGTTCTTTGCTCGTCCCATGCTGGTGATGGTCAAGTTCATGTGAGGTGCAGGGAAACAGGGACCCCTCGCCTTTGGAAATTTCGCCGTTTGGAAGGGTATTAGTAATATTGGGTAAGTGTATGAGGTCCGGGAAAAACATACTACATTCACAAACCCACAAAAATGGGTTGTCTTCCCGGTTAAGGTCACAGGCCATGACGAGGAATCCCCAAAGGACCGAATCAGATTCAGTGACAGCCCGTGGCACCAACTAAACTAAATGGGCATGTGGTGAAGCATCTGTGTCATACCAAAGCAAAAGTGGGTTCCTGTCCCCAACACCAGTTTGGCCTTGAAGGGGGTTTCCTTGGCCACTCACAGAAAGCGGCAACCTAGCACAGTTTCCATACCTCGGTTTGCTTCAACCTCCTTTAAAGGAACTGGTCCAGCTGCTTCTACCAATGCAGACCAGGGCCTGGCTTCCCAACCAGTTGTTTCAATCTGTCACCCTCAACAGTCTCAGGCCTGAAGCCACTTACTTTGGCCTGATCTTTAGGCAACATGTTGATTTGGAAGCCTGTGGGCGTCCACGTCTCGGTTTGGCCCATGTCTGTTGAAAAGCCCTGCACCCCCACTGCGCAAGTCCTGTAGGTACAGTCGTAGGCAAAAAGGCAAGAAACCAAGGAGAAACCGTGATTAAACAGATCGTCTTGAGACATCCTCGTCTACTAGGATGCTTGCACCCTGCCTATCTGTTCAGCCCCCCCCCGGTTGAGGGAACAACCGTTTTAGTGTTTGGCCCTTCCAACATGGTGAGGCCAAAACGTCGAAATTCGGGACAAGTAGGATATTCATGATGGGAACCTAGGATTAACGAGTCCCTGGTTGACAACAACAAAGGCTTGCAATCCGTTTTAGACGAGAAGCAACGCACCCCCTTTGATAATTCCCGAGGTTGTCTCATGCGTGGTCCACATTGCCATACGGGCCTGCGTGGTTAGAATTGGGGTTCTGGTTTGTTTCAAAATCCCAAAACACATATGTCATGAAGAGCAACATGTTTGTAATTGTCCACCCCAAAAACAAGAAATAGTACTGGTTGCAATTTAATTGAGTGACATGTGACATGAAGGAAATTGAAGGAAACTCGCCCCCCAAAAGGTAAGTTGAACAACTCCTCATTTTCCACGCCAAAGGTATCAAAGCCAACGCCAAACCGGGCCGGGCCTTGGCCACCCGCAGCCTGAGCTCAGCAGCAGAGGTCGAACCAGGCAGGCGCAGCGAGAGACGGCGCCCGCTGAGCGCCCACGTCACCACCTGATCGCAGGCCGGACGCGCGGTATGCAAACGGGGGGTTCGTTTGGGACAAAGGGATCCGAGCCCACTTCTTGCTGGTACAAAGCGGAAAATAAAGGAAAGCTAACAAGGCAAAAGGCTAAAAAGGCTTCCGCTAAGTAGGGGGGGGGTAAGTCGAGTCCTTGTTATTTTTGCTCTCATTGCAACCGAGATACTGTTGATGGACACAATCCTGCACCACCCGTGGATGAAACCCTACAATATTGGGACAAACCACCTACGAGTGGGATTTGCTTAGGTAATCAAGGCACCCATCCTCTACAAACTACAAAGATGTTGTCCATGCACGGCATTTATCAATTCTAGCATCATTCCTAAACGACCTAACAAACATCGGTGAGCTCGTTTCACCTCCGATCCATGGAATCGCTAGGGGGACCGATTCCTATTTTGAGAACCGCTCCCCATATGCAGAACTTCGAACGTCCGGTCGCTTTATGCCTCCACCTCTTCGCTGCTTTGCAGCTTCACGTCGAGGCCAGTGCCATCGATCTCCCTGGCGAGGAGGTCCTCGGGATTTTGCGATGCAACCCGTTGAAAACATGCTTGAACCAGGCTCGCCGTGTTTTGCCCACTCCCTTGGCGCTAAGGACAAATCTAACAAACCGAACAAAACACGTAATTAGCTTGGTTTTTCAGGCGAGCTTGTGGCTGGCTTTCAAACACGTTCGTTTGGACAGTCCTCCTAGTCAGGAGGAAGCAAACCTCCTGCATTTCCCTATGTGAAACAGTTGGTTTCCCTTCAAAGGGGACCAGGCCTCGGTTTTCTTCCAACAAATTCTGCAACCGACCATCCTCGTTCCGCAGAAGTGCCGCGGTGGTGTATGCCTGCCTCAGCGCCACCTCATCCATCAGAGCCACCAATTCGAAGGCTGCGGGCCGGATCAGTTGCTACGCTGGTCAATATAGACGGTTGCTCACGTCATACAGGTGTTGCTCCGGAAATTCCCAAGCTGGTATCAAGTATCATAGCAAACGGGTCCAGAGACTCCTACGTATCTCATCATAGAGCGCAACAATGTCACTCAATTGACAGGGGTGTTAGAAAGACGCGATTCGGCACCAGCGCAAACAAGTGGCACGCCTGCTAGAAACAAAACACACACACACACCAAAGGACACGATACCTATGTTCTATGGGTCGGAATCAAGTGTTTGGTACAGGGAATCCAACTGAAGTTCTACAAGGTTTCCACCTGTGGCCCAAGGGATATTGATCATCTGTTACAGGCTCGGAGCAACCCTGCTGAGTTTGGAAACAGCTGCGGAAGAAAGCGAGAAAGCAATCATGCACCCGCACACGTCAGCCAAGCCCAAAAGTTGACCAACTTGACTTCAATATGGGTGTGACTTTGTAACTAGAGGCTCTCTGGTGGACATCATTTAGGTGGGGATTCATGTCCAGCAACCACCTCAACGGTAGTTCCCTATTTAAGCTTGACAGCCATATTGCAAGCTCAAATCCAGGACTCTCAAACATCAGCCTGCCTCATCGTCAATGTGGGTCATTGGGGTCATGTTCAAATCGTCGAGCCCGAGTTCCACCTCCTTCGTGGTCTTCACCTTAGATTTCCAGGAGCTTGCGGAAATCTGTGCAATGTTTTACCCCCTATGGATCAGCGCCCGGTGAAGTAGCTCATCACGGGGTTCCCGATTTTGACGGAACTTGTGTTGGGCAATTCCGTCATCAGTCTATGCCTGACTGAGCCACACCCCCACAAACAGACGTTTGGCGTTCTGGTTGAGCATGCCATCAATAATGAAATGTTGATTTCTGGCCCAAATTCAAACAAAGCATCTCTGAGCATTGCTTTACCATACTTCTTCAGTTCCCCTTTTGTGTCCAGGTGTTTTCGCGGGAAAACCTACGAAGCGAAGAAGGGAACAGGGTTCCGCTGAACAACAGGATTTAGTGGTTGAACATGTCACAGTCCCGAACCACACATTTACGTTCAAGCGGCACACGTCCTGGCTGTGATAAAAATCGCTTGCAACCAAAACATCACAGCCAGCAATGGGCACCCTTCTTACCAGTCAATTAACTCATAGTCTAAGTGTAGAGCTTCATCTAGAGATTCATCTTTAAAGACTCATGTGTGCCGCTGTATTGCTTAAAAAGATTTAATAAAATCACGCACACACAGGTTGGCTTGCATTACTGTACTTTTGAGGCACACCACATTGGCACGATGCCGTCTGAAAATCCAACACACCGGCAAGCTAAATCAACCTGACAGATCGGTAGGGGCCTTCCACGTGAGCGAGATACAAGCAGTCACGTGCTATGAGATACAGTCCTTCCGACATTCTCCACGGCTTATGACATGCACTTGACTACCAGGAGGAGGAGCGGGGTAAGTCGAGGACTTTGAGAAGTCGCATTACTCGCTATTTTGTTTGCCTCATATTCCTTTGCAATCTATTGGGGGGATTACATGCTTCGGATGAGTCGCACCTCCTTAGCAAAACGTCTCCAGTGAGATCGGTCTTAAGTTTTTCCCAAGAGCCATTTGAGCGTACATAGCCAACGTCGTTCCCTGCAAATGACGGAGATAGACCGCTTCTCACAGCATTAACTCCAAACTCCCTGTGTCAAAAGAGTCGAACATTTGAACAAAAGGATCCAATACCAAATCTCTACTGAAAGGATCTGAAGGTGGTTTGGTCATTGTCAGGTTCGGAGAAATTCCGTCATCGGGCCAGACTGAGACCCCCTGCAACAGTTGACCTTCTGCTGGTTGAAGGGACATCACACAAAGCCAAACAGGCAAAACATTGAAACGGCTTTTGCCAAGTCTGGCAATGGTCATGGGTTTGTTTCCCATTGCAGTTCCGAAATCTCTCTGCCTCTGCCATCTGGTTCAGCGGCGCGTAGCCCATCCGCCAGCGCACGGATCAAGGTCTCTCGGCCGTTGGTGACCTCCGAGCCATGGACTGCCAAAAACAGAACAGGGTCTATGACTGAAGGGTGCCAGGGCTGCCAGGGTGGTGCCCTCTTGCAGGCTTCCGTTTTTTGGACTTCCGCGAGGTAGACTTAAACCCAGCGTTCCCCTTGTGTTTGGAAAGCAGCCACCTGGCTACAAGGAGCAATCAAGCAAATGGAACCCTGTCCCCAAGGTGAAGGTCGTTCTTTTGGAGGACTGCTTTTTGGTTGGCAAAGGGGCCTGCGCACGTTCAGCACAAGAAGGAGCAATTCACACATGCCTGCCTAAGATTGCATCCCAACAAACATGAAAGCTCATCGGGGGGTGCTGCCCTAAGGGGCCGATCATGAATGGGGTATGGTAATATTTAAGGGCCGGGAAACGTCATCGTGGGCAGCATATAGTTGAGCTCCCGATCAATGATACGCCACCAAGCATAAACCAGGAGGACCCGCTGAGGGAAAGCGGCATCCCAGATATATCAGGGTACTGCTAAATCCCCTTTGGGCTAGTATTTAAGGGAAACCCAAAGGAAACCGAGCTAAGGTGAGTGAAGTCTTATTCTATCTCGACATTTAGAGCTTCAGTAAAGGCTTTATTTGGGATACCTGGTGGACTCGATGGATAATTTAGCTCATAAGATGCTACACACTTTTGAAAAGATGGATCCTATTAATCCTACTTTTGAGTATTTGCAGAGGTTGCTGTAAGCTTACCTCTCTTAAAGAGGTTGCTGTAAGCTTACCGAAAGTATTTGATTTAAGACAGAACTTTGGCTATTTATTTGGGCTTTTCCCATTTGTTACACAAGTGAATACCCATCTTAACGAGATTGCGAATGATGGATCCTATACGTCAATGAATCTTATTTCCATGGATTGATAATGAGCTGATCATTTTACAAGTAAGGCCTTTTGTTGTGTGTTTCTTTTCGTTTCGATGTTTATTAGACAGCATTATTTCTTTTGAACAGATCCAGATATTAACATTGGCTCGTATAACATTTAACTGCTAGCTATTGCTTGGATGGCAACACAACTTCCATCATCAGCACTATTTATCAGCAGCTTATCACCACTATTTATCAGCATCATCAGCACTAATTTAGAATCCAATTGCATGCTACTGCAAGCATTTATTGCTTGCAATGTTTAGAAGCAGACCATTCTAGGCTACCCCTGCCCCCTGCCATGTTCTAGGCTACCCCCCCTGCCATGTTGCTATATTGAAAATTGAACTACTTGTGTGAGTGTTTGTGTGTGTGTGTGTGTCTGCGTCTGTGTCTGTGTCTGTGTCTGTGTCTGTGTCTGTGCCTGTGTTGAAAAGGATATGTGGCCTCTCGACTGTCTTGGAGGAGGGGCGGAGTCAGCAGGTTTTACTAATATAACGCACCCCCACACATCCGAAGGGTCAAGGGTTACTAAGCCCTGTTAAGGCCAAACGTGCAGCCTAATATGGCCTTAACCATCCCGGGGTGGGGGGTGGTTTGAAAGGTTCCTGATAAGAAGCGTGAGGCTCTCGCTTTGACAGTTGAAGGGTGTGAGCCAATTCGAACCAGATGGAAGGCACCTGACCGCCAATCCCCAAACCATCCAAACAACATTTTTGAAAACCGCCACCTCTATTTGTCTGAGCGAAGAAGCATGCCCTGAAACAAGATATGCACTCAGGAAAGAGGAGCCAATAACCCTAAATCAGTCGCAGATTTGATTTCTGCCAGGGGACTTGTAATAGTAGAGGACAGATGTGAAAAAGCATGAAACAGAAGCATGCGCACACCCCGACCAAAAACAACCAGCAAGCACCACAAATCACGGGTGCGGAAAATAGCTCTGCCAGTGACAATCCCATCTCCATCAGTTTGCTTCCAATATTTGCTTGTTTTTCAGAAAGTTTGAAGGGTGCTCAGATCTTTTTTCCAAAGAGACGCGAAGTTTCTCTGGCCCAACCCCCCCTCACCCCCCCGCACCCAGGTCTGCCGGCCCAAGATCCTGTCGGGGCAGGAAATTCTCGAAATTTGTAACAAAAAGACTAGCCTCAAGGCACAGGCACGCCCCAACCCGCCTGCTGGTCAGACTTCACAGCCCAAGCAACCCGCAAGCCAGCACACATCCGGCGTGTCTAAAAGGAGCCAACACAGTCGATCAAGACTGCCGTGCATTGATCACGCACGAGCGCCACTGACTCTTGGCTCAGTGACTCGCTCCTTGCCCTTGCCTCGGGATTGCTGCGAAACTTCGGACAATGACATCAATTGCTCCAACGACGCCAGAACTCCAGAACCTGTCCATTCCTGAATCGTCATTTGACCAGCTCTGCTGCTTGCAGTCGAACCACAAACGCTGCGCGCTCGGCTGGGCCGAGGTGCGCGCAGCGTTTACAATTACCAGGCCATTGGTTCCCTGACCACTCAGATCGGATCATGGATTTCGGACTGAACACTGCGATGGTCTCCACACCCAAGAGGGTTGACTGACATGACTTGTACATCAAATTCTGTTCACCTTTATATAGTAGGCCAACCCAATGAGGGTCCACAATTGTAGATAATATCCAGCCAGTGTCCTTTGCAGTGGGAAGACAAACCAAAGGATTTTTATCCCTTTTTGGTTTAAAAAGATGTCCTCCGAACTAGCAGGGCGCCCGGGCGCTTCAAAACTCGCCAGTTGCCTTGTGAGGTATGTGGGCTAGAAGGTAAGCGAATCTAACTCCTTGGGTTCAGCCACCCATTCATGTTTGTGGGAAACATTGCTTTCTGCTTCGCCCAAACCATGTCGGAGCTGCGTGCGGTGAGCAGGGTAGCAGCGGTGGCTTGTCCACCACAACGAAGTCCTGCGAGGCGTCGGAAATGGGCAAGGCACTCAAGAGAGAACCCTTTAATCACCGATTTTTGGCAGCAACACCTTTTCATTGAAGTTGCACCCCATTGTTTGTAAGTCAACCAAACCGACAAGGCCCGTCTTCTCGGCGAAAAGCCTGGTGACAACAAGCATGTTGCCGATCACACGAGCAAAGCCAACAAACCAACACGACACGAGCCGTTAAGAATTCAACTGGCAAAAAAAAGACATGATGAAAGAGGAGAGCCGCAGTCAACATTCATGTCCTCCCATAATCTCACTGTTCGATTGGATTGGTCCTCCCAACGTCGAGACACTGTGGAATTGAGCAACATTGATACTTGGTGAACATTTCCGTTTCCTGATGGTACGCAGGAAATGTCTATGCCGGGGCGGGGGGGGGGGGGGGGGGGGGCGGAAAACCCGAGTGTTCATCCGTCCTGCAGCCACCGCCAAGTTTTGGAAGACAGTGCCGCATTGCGAAAAAATACTTCGCTTCGAGCAATCCCCACCCTCCACACTCACGAGCTTTCGACCGTGAACACGGTTGTGTGAATTGACGCATGGTTTTCGAGTGGCTTGGGGCCTATGGCTGCTCAACAAGCTTTGCATTGAGAGCCTTGTCCACCTGTCTGTGTGTCAAACTCCACTTGTCTGCGAGCCGATCTCGAGAACTCAAACATCGGTTCCGTTAATAAAAGCCAAGCCCCTTCCAAAAAGAAGACGGGGGACTAAACGAAGTTGCTTTTTAACAACCGAAAGCAACACAAAAGCACCCTTTCCTCAAAACACGAAGGCACCAACATGAAATGTGCGCCGGGCGGGACATTAAGCAAAACCAGACTGGCGAGCTGCTCTGGCGGGATACTGGCGGGATCCACTGGTGAATGCTGTCGAGCCGCTGGTGGGCTGCTCTGGTGGGATACTCGGCGGGATCCGCTGGCGAGCTACTCTGGCGGGATACTTGGCGGGATCCACTGGTGAGCTACTCTGGGATACCAGCGGGATACTCGGCGGGATCCGCTGGCGGGCTGCTCTGGTGGGAAATACTCGGCGGGATACTCGGCGGGATCCACTGGCGAGCTACTCTGGGAAACTCAGCGGGATACTCAGCGGGATCCACCGGCGAGCCGCTCTGGCGGGATACCCGGCGGGATCCACTGGCAATCAGCTCTGGCGGGATACTGGGCGGGATCCACTGGCGAGCAGCTCTGGCGTGGCGGGATACGCGGCAGGATCCACTGGCGAGCTGCTCTGGCGGGATACTCGGCGGGATCCACTGCGAGCTGCTCTGGCGGGATACTGGGTGGGGGCGTGGTGTAGAAGCATCGCAAACGCGGATTCCAACATAAAATCTAACAACCCCTTCCTGTCGGGTGGGGGGAAAAACAACAACAACAACAACAAACAAAGCGCTTCTGTGGCAAGGTTGAACACACTACAATCTGTCGTCGGCGGGTTCGACTCACATCAAAAGAAACATGCTGGTAAGACCGCGGCTGAACAGAATATGATCAATGGTCCAGTTAAACATTGGTTCCTGAGATGATCTATTTGGCTCACCAATGTTACCTGATTGAAATTGTCGCAGTTGAATATCGGAAATCTCCAAACATTCAGAGCCGACTCGCAAGACAAGAGCTTAGGCCCTACCTTCAGACCTTAAGGCAGGTGGGAAAAGTCCCACAATGCAGTTTGTTCGAGTGTTTCGCACAGGGAGATAAACATGCCGAGCTAAGGAACACTGGAAGTTGCAAGTAGGCAGCTCTGGTGGAATGGGAAACCGAAATGGAAACCACAAGATGTGCTGGTGTCCCGCCTATTTGGACACAAATCCTCGCCCTCCTGGAAGAAGTCTGAATCCTCCATGAATTAAGCTATATGGGGTTTCTCAAATTGGTGCCACCAACAAAAAGGTTTCCTTTGGTCCTGACTTGAAATACAAACCAAAATTTTCAAAAAGCGTAAACCATTTGAAGGAACCCCTCTCTTCTAAGTCGCCCCCACAAGCAAGGAACCTGCGTGGGCGAGGGGGCTTGGACCTTTTCTGAGGTTGCATCTGCCGATCTGCCCACAAACCGCAGAGCGGCACAAGCGAACATCCGCGGATTTCGCCTCCTTTCGGAAATGAGAAACAGCCCCTGCTCCGTGAAGGTTCTCAGAACCCTTTGATCACTTCTTCTAAGCAGCTTCCTTGCGAATTCTGAAAAGTGGCTGGGCGTTACATTTTTCCTGGGCAAATCGCATGTCGGTCCCGGTCGACTTTCTTGATGCGATCGTTCCAGTCGTCCATGTAGGCGGTCTTGTAGCGCTCGGGATTCGGGAAGACCCGGAGCACCTGGCGCGCTGACGCCCTCTTTGGATGAAGCGGCGAATTTCCCCAGGAGGACGCGGGAGAATGGGTGGGCTCAGTGGCCTAACCGCTGGCTTTTGCGGCACATTTGGGTGGGCCCTGCATCACTTTGGAGCAGGGTTACTCTATCCCCCGGTCCATTGACGTGAGGTTAGTAACCATTGGGTGGGCCAGTTCCTCCCACTGCCAGCAGTTTCGTCAGTTTGCTCATCTGAGGTCCATTCAAAACCTCCCCGAAAAGCAATCACCCCGCCTACTTGGACGGCCCCCTGGTCACGTATAATTTTAATGTGTCGACCAAGGGAACCTTGGGAACCGTACGAAGGGCCACCTTGGATGTGAACACTCCACATGCACGAAAACTACGGCGAGGCTTTAAGGCCTGTCGGGGAATGGTCCAAGCCTTCATTGTCCTTTGTATTTATTGGTATCTTCCATGGCAGGATAATTTTGAATGAATCTCAATCGGCAATCAAACTAAAGCTTCAGATGGCTTCAGTCTTCCTGCTAAAACTATGCAACAAGTCACCAGGTCATTAAAACAAACACAACACATCACATGGCTGTTGGATGCAACAAGGATTTGCATGAAATCTGGTCAGCCGCCCTTGGTACTCCAAGCTTTCATCCTTCTGACAATCATTGCGTGATGTGTCCATGAATCCTCCTTGCGACATTCGATTCCTGCTGGTTCAAAACTTGGTTCAGGCCCATGGTACACAACAAGTATCACTACAGAATATTGGAACAGGATTGGGCCATCGTTGCCGTCATAGAACCCGCCGTCAGTTGCAAGCGAATTCATCCCTACGCGTCGGTCGATCAGTCAATTTGTGACCATCTGTGCAATGGTGGAGACAGTATTCTCAGTTGCATGTTGCAAGATTGGCTGCCCCTCCGGAGGGGGGTCCCTCGTTGTCCTTTCCAGGGCCAGTTTGGTAGTGTTTAGAATTGGCCTATCCTAATTTAGGATTGGTGACTTTGCATTTTGGTTCATGAATCCAGGATTCCCATTCAACAGGCCATCTGGAACAGGGCGAAGCTTTTTGGATACTATCGTCAGACTCCCTGCCCTGCAAAGATTATGTATTTTGTTGTTTCGGAAATTGAATACCTGGGAGGCAACACATCAAAGAGGTAAGCCGAGTCTGGCAATGAAACAAAACGTGCCAACGTGATGCCTGTTGAGTCCTGATTCAAATTCAGCTTGCAGATTGGTTCATCAGCTTCTTGAAGCAACCCTGAACGTGATGGCTGGCGCAAAAGGCCGGCTGCGCGCAATCCGAGCTGATCTTCTGGGGCGCCATGATGCGGACCCACTCCTGGCCATGATGCGGACCCACTTTGGCTGGGAGTGAGAGGGCCAATGGATGGGTCCTATGGTTGTCAGGGGCCAGCGGGGGCGACGAGCGACTAATAACGCACATTCGGGGCGAATAGGGTTCCTGTTGGGTGCTTTTGTTTGGGGACCCTATGGGAATGTCAAAATCACTTTTCCGAAGAACGCGTTTGCGTGATTTCGAAGAACCCCTTCACTTCCTTCTCGCTTGCTCCAAGGCCCCCTCGGAGCAAACGGTTGAGCACCTTTTGAGGCTTTGTGGAAAAGCAATTTGTTTCCACAAGGCCAAAGGAAAAAATGGTCACACCATGTCCTTGCGTCCAGAAGACAAGAAGATATGGAACATACAGGAACAACTCGCCCAGGGGTTCCATACTTTGAGGCAAACCCAACGGGCCCAGTTGCAAGACTGGGCAAGTGTACACTGCTTGCCGGTCAACAGCCTCTTGGGAACGCAGGAAGATCAGGACGGGAAAGCCCCAGGTCAAATCAGCGGTTGTCCCATTTGAGAGAAGGATCTGGAAAACTATTGGGGGGAACGCGCATGAATCCGGCAAGTTAATGAAATCTCCGCATTCAGAGCCAACGCCAGGAAACCCTGGGGAGTAGTGAGTCTTAATGCTCCTTGATTGCCCCTAATGAGCCCTAATAAGTCATTATTAGGCTGCAATGGCTCCCCTTGCTAATCGGAATAGGAATGGCAAGGAGCAAACAAACAAAGATCTAAACATCACCGGTGTACAACGCACAGGGCTCTACCCTGCGCGCCAAACCCGTGCAAAGTGCTGAGCGGATGGACACAAACACAGCCCTGCTGATGCTGACATGGGGCAGCAAACATGTGCGTCAACAAATCTGGTGCCATGTAAGTGACACAACACAGTCCCAAAAAAGCAGAATGGATCCATGGATGCAGACAGTAGATTCGAGTCGGGAAAAACTGAGAACTCTGCCAGAATGCAGCTGCCCCCTAAGCCCTAAGCAACAAACCACACTCTGATCCGGATTTGCTGACGCAGGTCAGCCATGCCGCGAACTTTTGTTCCCTGGTCGCGAAGCCACTGAAGCCAGGGTACAACTGAAATCACACTTCTGCGGAGTCTTTACGTTGCAGAGAGTCTGTACCTGACGGCCCTGTACATCGCATTTGGCAAGTGAAGGCCACACTTACCGAAAGAAAATTGTTGGCATCGGGGTCAACAAACACTTTAGACCCAAGCAAAGGCTGTGGAGAATCCTCTTTAAGCCCCACCCTTGGCTGAACAAATGCTGCAAACCTTCTTGCTTAGCTTTTGAAAGCTGCTCTCCTCCCACGGCTTTTGGGCAGTGGGATCTGCGGACACTACTCGTCTCATGTCTCCGAGCAGGAAACAACACAAGAAGTTGTTCCGGAAGACAGCCTTGCCATTGGTTGGAATATGAGCCAAAATCCGTGCATTTTGCAGGCACCCCAAAAAAGGAGTCGAACCAACAAAGGCAATCAACTAAACACATGCCAATCACGGTGAAGCAGCTTTCATACCGCTGGCAGTGTGCAAGTCGCCGACTTTGGAGCTTTTGCTGACGATCGCTTCGCAGGGAGCCTTGCGTGTGGTCTCATAGAGGTGCATCCCCTCAGAAAGCGAGATCCTTTCGTTCCTCAAGATCTGGGCCAAGGTATAGGCATCGTCCATCGCCATGTTGGCACCTCAGTGTTTCTCGAAATGGGATTCGGAGCACCTGAAAAGGAAAACCACAAGGAGACCAACCACAGCAACCCCCCCTTTTTGGAGAAACACCCCACCTTGGCCCATGAAGGGTGCAGTGGCATGCGCCGCGTCCCCGAGCAAAACCACCCGGCCCTTGCTGGAGATCCAGGTGTCGCGCAAGGGCTGCCTGTAGATCCCCCAGTCAAAGCAAACCTCCGAAGACTCCACCGCCTTCCTCGCTTGAAAGAATCTGGTTGAATCGGTGATCACTTTTTGGGACCAGCTATCCCATTGTTGGGGCAGTTCAGAACCTTGCTTGCCCAAAGAAGGTCGAATTGGATACAGCAAAAAAGGGGATCACCTTTTGGGACCAAAGGAATCAAAATGAAAAATGAGAAGGCAAAAAGGTCGATTTGCATTTGAGCTTCAGCAGCACAGGGTGGTCAGACCCCACACGTTCAGCAAGCTTCCGAAGACGATCCTTCACCATGGTGGACTCCCACCTGTCAGTCACCTGCTCCTCGCTGCGCAGGATGATGACGCAAATGTCGTGCCGGCCCTTGCCTTGTCCAGCTGTGAGATCCAGAAACCCATAGCCAGCTCCATCCAACTCTTTCCAGTGAATATTGGCTACTGTAGCATCAGGGCGATATGCCTTCGAAGAAACACTGTACAAAACTCGAAAGCCTGTGAATTCTGGCTGGTCCACACCAAACACTTTCTGTCTTACAAAGCTGTGTATGCCATCTGAAGCTACCACCAAGTGGGCAGAGGCTCTTGCTCCGTTCTCGAACTCCAGCATGACTTCATCCTCTCCCTCCACGATCTCAACCAGCTTGTGGCCAAGCTTGACGACATTGGGGGGAAGCGACTCAACCAAGACTTTCTGAAGATCTGTGCGCATGACTGTGCAACCTGGGACGCATAAGGTGTTCAACTTGCTGCCATTCGCGTGGAAATTCATCTGATAGCCATTGATCTGGTTGGCCACTGCAGCCAGCTGGCCCTTGAGACCCAATTTCTCCAGGATGCGCTTGCCTGCTGCCAGACCGATGGCTCCACCACGCACCTTCCACTCGTCCCAGGCTTCGTACAAACCTCAGCTCAGTGGATGTTGATGGGGCAAACATCTGGGCGCCCTTTTCCCTCGATTGATTTTGAAAAGCTGGTCGCGGTTGCTGTCCTGTCTGGACTTCACAGGGACAAACAGGTGAAGAAAAGAACGTGGGTGACACTGACAGTGGCCCAAAAAAAACAAAACCACCGGAGAAGCACCAATTGTCCCCCACACACAAAAACTGAGACCAAATCACCGATTGCAACTGAGAAACAAGGAGAAACAGGAACCGCAAAAACAAGGTAATCAACCCCAAAAAAGACAAGAGAAGCACCGCGTTTCTGCAGCTGGGAAGCACACCTCCACCTTTCGTCCTTCGGTTGCATGGTGAAGCAGCGCCTTGGCCAAGGTGAGGCCACCCAGCCCCGCGCCGATGATGGCGACCTTCAAAGTCTCGGAAGCTTCGGATCTGGAAGCCATAAGATCGAGGCAAGCAGATGGCCGCTTAAGCGTTTTGGTCCTATGGACACTGCGGACTTGAGCTCTTCACAGCTTGAGCCAGGAGCAACCACCCGCATATGGCAAATAATCACTTTTGTTCGGGCAACACTGTTGAGGGAATTTGGGGCCTCCGAACACCTCACTTGCCCAAAAACCTGGAAATACAAGGCAATCACCTTTCGGGACAATTGCGGCCAAAATGGGAGAACCAATCACCTACTAGGTTCGGCTTTGATGCGGCCTGCCGGGCGGAGCATGTGATGCTTCCCATGCATTCGAGGGGCTTCAGCTGGAAAGGACTCCCACAGGAACCCGTTGGACTCTCCTGGGATAAAGCCTCAGAGAACCCATTCAAGGTTTGCTCAGACTCTCCACACACACACACACACAGGATGGTAGTCCATCTGCGGAACACACGTGAGGTTTGGGAAGATTGACTGCCCGACACTTGACTCTCGGTTCAGCATCTTTTGATGTTTACAGCCCAAATGGCCCGGTAGAACCAGTGGGAATTCTGCCTTCTTTTTGAGCGCGAGACAAACCCACTCCAGTCCTTCAGCTCAAAAGCTTCGTAGTACCACACAGCGCCTGCCGGCCGTTCTAGAACCAAGGCTGGACTTGGCTTACACGGGCCGAACCCATTGAAAACGTGGGGGTCTGGACTTTGAACTAAGTCTAGGAGTACAATCTAATGTACAATCTTAACTTGGGCTCTCATATTACTCGACCAATCCGAACGGACGCCTATTGAGTGGCACAATCAGAAAGGAAACGAAGGAAGGGCTCCCTACAAACGTGCAGAAATGGGGGTCATGCAAATTGGCCCCAGCCAACTACTCAGCTGAGTCGACACTCTTGGAGGGGAATTTAGCAAAACACATCTTGCACGAGGGCCCAGGCCAGAGCTGCAGGAGAACGTGGGGCAGTCAGAGTCCATGGTCTGCTTATTGCAAATGGACAAGGGCAGCATCCATGGCGCAAACACGTTCTTTGGTTCGGGGGACAGTTGGTTGGCTTCCTCTAGCTCTATGGGAAAATGCCCAAAGGCTCTGCTCTCCTTTTGAGACCTACACGGGCAAGACCTTTGGACAAAAACATCCTCTCTAGGGGTAGTCCTTGCAATCTACAAACCTAGGGAACACACAAATCATATTTAAACCCTGATCCTCAAACGAGCCAAGCCAAAATGGCAAAGAATCACAAGAGTGACAAGCTGCACCGATCTTTTTGGCAAGGGCAAACTGTCCCCTGTCCTTGGTGCTGAGTAGTACATCCCAGGATTGAATCAGACCCCTACATTCTGGGACACCAAGCGGTCTGGACAAAATCAAAAACAAATCCATCCAGGCATCCATGTTTGATGTGCTGAGAAATGACATGCTATGGTTGCAATTTGGCGCCAAGAAACCCCGTGTCTTCCCAGGTTTTAATGGCGCCTTGACTAAATTTGTCAAACAAAATCTGACTCAATGGTCATGCAGGTTTATTTAGGCCTTTCAACAAGCCCAATAGAATGGAAAACCATCAAAGATGATCTCCTGGTTTTGGTTCCAAGCATCCATTTGGCCAAATCACATTATAATTCTCACACCAAACAGAAGTAAACCCCTATATAGAACATATTCTTCCAGAATCTTACTCATGGGCTGGAACTCGCTACCCGCACGCAAATCCCTTGGTGCTTGGCCAGCCTTACGCCCCTGCAAAGAGCTAGTCTTTTGCTGGGTAAAAGGAAAAAACGGGAACAGGGCAAAAGGATAGTCAGTTCCCGATCCCATGACCATCCCAAGCCCAAGTAGGGCGTTTTGGCCAACATAGAAAACCGCCAAACCGTGTTTGTGATTGAAGGCAAAGAAGCGTTTTAATTACGACATCATACAAGGGCAGGAAGTCCTCGTTTTTGCCGGGTCTTGGGCACATTTCCTGAAATTCCTGTGGCTGGCTATTAAAAAGCTACCTTCCTCCGCTTCCTCATGGCCGGCGTCTGGGACCCCCAGCCCAGCTCCACCAACCAGGAGGCTCGTTTCGGCTCAATGCCCAAATGCTCCGCCACGATGATGTTCACCGCCTGCCAATTGGATCGCCAACAAGGGGGGAACCCCGAAAGTGGGGCGGTTTCGCCTATGTGAAAATATTAAGGGATGCACTAAACACGGTGGTTGTCCTCTTGGTTTTGCTTTCAAGTCTGAAAAGGGAGGTACCTGAAAACAAACCCACCCACTTGGGATCCGGCAAGCTGAGGCGAGAGATTCGCTCAGCGAGCCATCTTGTGGCCTGAAGATTGTTCTTCCACGTCAAGGGAGTTTGAGCGAATTAAGACCTGGCGGATGTAGCTGCACAAGCCCAGCCGGCCAATGAACTTCATCCGAGCAATGATCTGGTCCCAGGCAAGTGAAAACAACAGCGTGAACTGAACTTCCGCGGCAAGGTAGTCGCCCAAAGCCTGGGCCATGCTCCGGTCCAATTTCTGACAGCCGCGCATGATGTGGCGCAAGTCGCGTCTCACCTTCAAGTCAGGAAGCACTGCGCTGTCCATTAGTCCCATCTAGGACGAGCGACTCTGCTTTAGCCAGCAAGGGCACGCCAACACCCTCGTAGCGGTGAACAAAGTGCTAAAGGCCGCTATCCAAGTCACCTTGCCATGTAAGCAAGTGACAAGTCCGAGTCTTAAGACCTCTGTGCTGGCAGACGCCTGCCTTGACACACATACACACTTACGCACACATACAGCTTTTAGAATACCCCGCAAGCGATAAACCCTGGGCTATACTCACATGCAAAGCTGGCCTCCTTGGGCCCCCTTCAATTTTGGACATGTTGCGAAAACGGGAATTAGGTGTAAAACATATAACCGAAGGCAGCCCAGTAGGCAAACAAGTCTGACAATTCGTGGGTACGAGACTCAAGCTCCTACGGGAACAAGCAGAACCACATAGCGCACATAAACATCTGCAAGTAGCAACGCCAGCTAGCTTTCGGCTAGAATATCCCAAAGCTGTCTGAGTTGTTCGAAATACATAAGACACACCATGTTTGCCTGTTGGAGAAAATGACCGCCTGGCTCTGCGCTGCTGGGTGCTTTCAACCATTTCCTAGCAAACTCCACTGGGAAACCCAAAAAAAAGCACAAACAAAAACAGCTGAGCATGGACAGGACAAAACAAGCACAACACTGACTCAACACATGCCCGAAGCAGCAAGTGATTTCCATCGTGGCCATGTTTCAACAGGGGATAAGCTCAAAAGGAAACCTTGTCCATACACGTAGCAGAACACAGCTAGAAAGGCAAACGTGTTTGTCTAAATGTATGTCTATATACATATGTATGCATATATGTGAATGAATATATATATATAGAATTGTATGGATGTGTAGACTGATGAATGTTTGATGTGTTCATCCGTGCCTATTCAACTATATGTGTGCGCATGTATAAACATGTATATATATATATACATAACTATTTATACACATGTATATATACACATACACATTTCTATCTATCTATCTATCTACCTATCTATGCATATCATTTTAACATGCATGCATTAAACAAAAAAACATATAAAGCACCTGGAGGTGGGTCGCCATTGAAATCCATAGCCATACATATCCCATATAACTAAATACACAACATTAAATGAGCTAATTTAATTTAATATATATAACAACTATATTAATAGGTCTAATCATAATAACCATAATAACAAACCACAAGAATACCAGTAACTAATAATAATAATAAATAATACTATTGATGATGATGATGATGTTGATTATGATGATGATGACAAACATAATGGTACTAACACTAATAACACTACTAATAACAATCAAATAGCAATCGTAAATTAGAATAGAGCAAATACATGTAATCTACACATGATGACAATGATAAACACACACACACACACTGGCAGATGTGGGCTCCGCTGTGCCCTTGTCCCCGTTCGGCCTCTTCCTCCGGCCCGTCCCACCTCAGCGAAGGCGCTGGGCACAGACGGGTTGATGGCCCAATGTGGACAGAAAAACAAACGCCACACGTGGGAGGCAAGAGATGTGAATGACTCGAATGGAAAACCATCACTACCTCCTCGAAGGGGAGGGGTCCCCCCCACATTTCATTTCTTGATCTACTCCCCTGCTTCCATTTTGTCCCTGGCTCAGGGGGGGGGTCAGATTGGAAGGGGCTGGGGGGGGGGAGGTTCTGAAGAATTACGTTCCCCCCAACCAAATTTGAGAACCAAACAAAGGGAATGTTGATAAAGTCAAAAGGGAATTGAACATGGAACCTAGAAGGGGCGGGGGGGGGGGTCGGGGGAGACCATGCTAGCCACCACCTCCCCTTGCCTGAAAATTCCATTTTTGGGGCTACTGTGCAACCCTTTTACACCAATAAACTGCAATTTGGAGTGGAGGTGGTTGCCTGAAAAATGCTACAGTTTGGCATTCCCCTCTCTCCCATTCCATTCTTGAAAACAACAAGAGAAAAGTCTAGAACAAAGCAATGCAAGGCAAACCAAGGCAAAAACTGCAAAACCAATTGATGCCAACGGTGCCTGAAAATGGAGCACCAAGGGGCGGGGGGAGCTGGATTTCCACGACACAATCCTGAGTTTTTGAAAGAAGGGGAGGTGTCCGCCCCCTCTCCTACGCGCAATGAAAGCAACAAAGGAGAAGCCTAGGTCTGCAAGAGCAATCAAAAGGAATGGCACCCCCTCACATACTCCATTTTCGACGGGGTAGGGATGGAAATCCCTCAAGTTTGAGCCTTGCACTGTCCGTATTGCTCTTCCTTACGATTCTCGTCTGAATTCTCTATTCAGAGGTTGAAAGCCATTCCTACCAAGTAAAAGAGTCTGTGACCCGTGACCGTGGCACGTCCAGAGACCCTAAATCAAGATTGGCGAACCAACAGGCGGCCTTTGACGCAACCAAAAAAAACAGAAGGAAAACTACTGAAGACCGACCAAAATCC